GCGTGAGCCTCTGACAGGAAATAGACGTGGAAACACTTGGATTAGTAAAGTCAGTGAATTCCACGTCACATAGAAAATTAGCATTCATTTACTCACCCGTCTTGGTTAACAAAGGTGAAGGCTGTGTGAATTCTAGCAGAGTGCACTTGTTGCAAATTTTGGGCCATTTCAGGCTGAATTTCCTCTTGTGCAAAAACCTTCAGGGCAAGTTTTGCATCGTGTGTCATGCACGGGGGTAACGGGAAGCAATTAGCACCTCACGACCAGCTCCCATCAGCAATCGTGAAAAAATCCAACGTGTGATGTTCTGCTCGTCCGCACTGTTGAAGCAGCGCTCCTACCCAAATGAAACAGAACTGCTCACACAGCGCATGCGTAAGTTATCTATTTACGTGTCCAGACACCACGTCTCATTTTATTTTCACACTTTTCTCCACACACAAGGATTGTCAGGAAAGTGTTTGTAGAGTTTATGTGAAATAAAACAGTTTCCAAAGTCTCAGTTGACCTCCTGACATTCTTCTTTCACCTGCAAACCCCATAAACCCCTCCTCCTACAACTATGGCAAGCCTGAAGGACAACAAGCCTCAATAACAACACAACAGTCTCCTTTCCAGGGTTATTAACTCTCACACATTGAGTGTGAGTCGCACGCATCTGACCCTTTTCACACGCTCTCACACCCCACCTCCAATGTCTCACGCTGAAGAACACCCCCCATGCACACCCAAACACACTCACGGACAACTGACGGAGGGAAAACGGTACGTACGCCCCACCCCCATGGAGGGTAATGTTCAAAAGTTGGCAGTCCTGTATTCTTTCCGGGTTTTTGGATTCAAAGGTCCGACGTGTCTCGGCTAGTAGAAGCTAACCGTTAGCATTAGCAACACCACAACATGGCAGAACTCCTTTAGGCTTGTGGACATGAAACATCAGTGTTGTAGAGAGAACCAAGTTAGTGGCAGTGTCACATTGCTGTTGGCCAATCAGAGGTGAGATGTCAAAATACCAGGAAATAAGACTCCACACCCTGCTGCCTTCTGCTCCGGCTAACTTCTACTTCCTGAAACAGGAGAGAGAGAGAGCTTTTTTTCCCTACAGAGATCAACTCACAGGGCATTTATTTAATTTTTGCCGCTGCAAATGTGTGGAAAAAACAAGTAAAGTTGGCCTTTAACTAAATAACAAAACAAACATGATAAACACAATAGTCATTTGAAGGTTTAAAATAAGCCAAAAGCTTTATATCCAAAACATAAACTAATTAGATTTGGCACGAAATATAAAATGTGGCCTTAATTAACTTGTTGAAGGTGATATTTTGTTCTGAGAGATGAAGGAAATTCTAAGAAAGACATAAAATCCAGAGGTTTAAAGGTTTACAACAACATAAATGTATGTCACAGAACTTTTATATTACTCTAACAACAGCAAACAAACTGTCCAAATTCCTGCTGACTTCATTTTTGCCAACGCAACCAGTGTTTTGCCGAGGTTTACACACGATTCACTTAAAACTGAAGAAAATACACGTTATCTTTATTCCTCGTTGCTCCTGCCTTTGTACTGAATTTAAGATTTTCTTTATAAACCTGAGACCAAAATGTTTTAAGCCATGTCTGTAATTCTTTAGATAATCTGTTTTGTTCACCAAAGATGGAACCATAAGCATCTCCATTCCCAGCTCTGAAGTGATTTATGTTGTTATATTAGTGGATCATGTTAAGGATCATGTTATCCGTGCCGATAACGAAGCTAAAATGGAAAAACTAACATTTTTATTGACACTTTTCACAGTTGCATTGAATTCCTGCTATTAATAACTAATTCAAGATGTATTCCTGCTAAAAAATTTTTTTACTATCCATGTTTATCGTGCAAATTTCTGATTCTTAAACTGACCTCAGATCAGCAGTTAGAGCATTTAAGTGATGAACAGTAAGCAATCATAAACTCAAATGTATCAAGGGTGATTCTGTGTTTTTGTCCACAGACATTTGCATAATGAAACCAAAAATGCTGCCTAAAAATACAACAGTTGCCACGCAAATGTAATGCTGAAACTTAACTGAGGTACATCTGAATGTTTTATGGTTGGTTTTCACATTTTAACAAGTGCAGAGGACATTTTTCCAGTTTGGATTCTTCTCGTTGGCCAGCTCACCTTCATAAATCACACTAATCCGTTTCCTTTTGAGTTTGAACGTCTCTCAACAACAGATGACACAACCAGCCTGAAACAATAACACACACGAATGCCGTTCTGCAGCCCCATCCTCTCACTTCCCGCGACCCTGTGTGGACAAAAGGAGGTGTCAGCACCCCTTCCCTAACTACACAATTAACATGCAAATTAGCCCAGTCACTAATGGCAGTGGCAAAGCACTCTTATGATGGAAATATGCTTTCTGCTTTGGCAGTATGGGTTAAAAATTAGTCAATGGAATCAGCTGAGGACGGGGAGCGCACCCTGAGACCTCCCTGAGGGCAGAGGGAGACACCGATGTGGACTCAGGAGGCGATGGCCTTTGCACCTGCTTCACTCTGACACATGCAGGCGCACAGAGCAGGACCAGGCGGTCATAATCAGCCTCGTTCAGGCTGTCAGCCCGGTCAATAACTTATCCCCTCAACTGCTTTTGTTCTACAGCAGCTCGGCTGATGCAGCCGCTGCCCCTTATTCAGCTGAAATTTATTTTCAATTGCTGCCCTCGAGCTTTGGCCCTGCAGCGGTGCACTGACTGAGAGAGTAAACAAACCAGCAGACCACTTCACACACACACACACACACACACACACACACACACACACACACACACACACACACACACACACACACACACACACACACACACACACACACACACTTGCAGTCTGGAGTATAGATATAATGAAAACATTTGCGCATAATCGAACTGAAAAGCCTCATATTTGTAAAATTTGTAATAAATTTGGTAGAAGTGTGTGTGTGTGTGTGTGTGTGTGTGTGTGTGTGTGTGTGTGTGTGTGTGTGTGTGTGTGTGTGTGTGTGTGTGTGTGTGTGTGTTGCTCAATGAACCTCAAGTGGCTCAAAGTAACAGGTGTGTGCTCGTTAAATGACCGATCGTTTGTCAAACTTTTAGATAGCTGACGGTCAGCATGTGGTCATAACTAACTGTCCTGCAGACAAAAACACTTAAACATGTCTGTCCTTGACAAATTTATTAATTAATTTTATTTGAAATATAGCTTTTTAATTTTTGTGGGTGCATATAATTAGCAGCAATATGCATATTTTTGACACCGCCCACTTGTTCCAAATTATAACTTTTAAATTGTAGATTTTTTTTGTTAAAAACAACCAGAAATAATTTAATGTGTCCTTTTGCATCTTAGTTGAAAGATAGAAAATAAAATAATAATCAACCAAAAAAAAGTCTGAAAGATTTTCCATTTATTTATTTTGATCATATTTAAATTAACCTTTTGTCCATTATAATGCAACACATCATTTATTTACGCATCCTCTAACATTGAGGTTTCACTAAAAACAGACAATAGTTTAATTATTACATTTTATAAGAAAACTATCGCACTCCTCCTTAGGTGTCACTTTTACCACACAAACAAAACTCTTCAGTCTTTACTCCAGAAATCATTCTAAACTCTTGCTTTATTATTTCAACTCGAAGCTGATTTACACTGACCCCCTTTAAAGACGGCATGGTTTGCATTTACCTTGTGGGTGTTATTTCCATCTGCGTGACTGTTTTTAGGATTATTGTGCGGCTTACCCACAAAAGCTCCCTCTCTGAATGTGACAGCAGCAGTTGTGTCCGTTTTACGCAGCTCCTAATTAGCCGGAATTAAGAAGTATTTCTCGGCCCATTGAAGAGTCCATTTCCTTTGAAACCAGAGCATAATAAACTTTAAGTAATTACCCCAACTCATGACTATTAACTCGCAAACCGCCAGCTTCCCTTGACAACATTCCCCTCAGTGTTGTGTGGTTAAAAGGCCATTGCGGCTGCAGCTATTTACATCCCATCTGGCATCCTGCGATGCGCGCGCGCTCATTCCCAAAGACAAAAAACAAGCGTAAAATGAACTCTTTCACTCTTTCTTAACTT